GAACAAGTTGTTGCCTCTCTTTTGGTCTCAGTATCCTTTATATGTATAGAGGTGATCATACCTTGTTTTCGCGACTTGGTCGTGTTGTTTGGGCGACTTATTTGGACGCGTTTTGTTCGAAGTTCTATACCATAGTAGTTATCATAAGTCAAAGCGTTTAACCATGGACTTGGTACATTCCCGGACGTTTCGCCGGCGTCGTTAGTGAGTCTTGTCAGTCTCAGCACCAAGCTTCAACTCGTCAAAGCGACAAGTGAAATCAATCTCTTGGCCAGCCTTATGTTCGATGGCTATGTTATCACTCTCTAATCTGTCCTGGCACATCTACTCACCCTATCAAAACGTCTGACGTGTTTACATTCCATTTTTCAAAGGGTGTTCCCTTTTTGTCAAGCTTAGTGTGGCATCACACCTGCTGTTCACCTTGACTCCCTCTCGATTTGCCCATCCGACTTGGGCCCCCATTTCGCATCTCCATCATGAACGCGTAGATCCCTTTCATATCTTTCTAGTTGACCGATTTCACTCAGCTCCATTCCCACTGTACCTTTTACTTCAGGCACTATTTCTTAAGCCTTCCATACCACGTAGAATGTCGCTTCACCGAACTGAGCGCCTAGGCTCTGATTCCCATGTTTGCAGATATTAGACATTGTCTTCACGGGTCATCTCCGTGGTTCGAGTCGTGCATCCTGAACAGACTGTGTACGTCCACCTCTGGAGTGGGTGCTTAGTCAATTTGGTTATAAGGACGAATTTTTTGACAATTTTTTTCATCTTTCTCCCTAGTCACGTGACTGCCATGCGCCAAAGTTAAGTTGTTTCTTCGAGTAGACTACACTCATTGAGGACGTCTTCGCTTGATCTCATAAACTTCCTTGCGATACCTTTTCCTCTGGTTAACAATACATCCTTGATCCAAGCGTCCCTTTTTATTTGTCTTGTATCCTTGTTTTCTCCAAGTTTGCTTAGGCAACAGGCACAGTTATGACTAACCTGACTTTCCTCAAATCTCCAGTTCATTAAAATTCTTTCAATTGTCTCCTTACTCTTCTGTTCCCTTATGTTTTCACCGTATCAGGCCCTTCCTTATATGCCTTCTTGTTGATCTCGTGTCCAGTTTTTGTTCCACCATTTCCCATCTTTCGCTATCCATTTTCCCGTAGAGCCTTTGATCTTCTTTGGTTTGTATGCTCTAGATTTTTCTCCCAGTTTCGCCAATATCTTTCTGTTCGCAGGTGCCTCATACTATGCAGTAAACTCCCGAGCAATCCAATTTGCCTATCTTATGTTGCGTGGGTAGACTTGTGAAGAGTATTATTTTTCCCTTCGTGGTCACCTGAATATTCTATTTCATACTCTTGGCCGTAGATTTTGAACTAGTTTGTAGGAATGGAGGCATATTTACTTGTGTGGGTCTTTCTCCATCCTTAATGTTTTTTCATAATCCTCATCCTATAATAGACTTTTCACAACTCATATGTTTCGTTATCTTAATCTCTCTGGTATCCAATTCAGTTTTTTTTAATTCTTCATCCCACTATTCAAAGTCCATTAATCGTAAGCTTCTGATGCTCGTGCTCCTCATTATTCCTCTCTAGCCTGCAGTCGTGATGGGACTGAAAATTGAGTTTTATTCCAGCATATGACTTGTATATATTAAGAAGTTTTGATAGGATGGAAGTGAGATAAGAGGGTATGGAGTGAGTAGATGTGCCAGGACAGAAATAGGAGTAATAGCATGACCGTTGGGCCGAAGGCTAGTGAATGGGCTGATTTCACTTGTCCCTTTGACCAGTTGTAGCTTTATGCTGAGAGTGACAAGACTGATTGACAATGCCGGTGAAACGTCTGGGCATGTGCCACGGTTCGACGCTGGGAATCATGATTACTACAATATGGCTTCAGATAAGACACTTCCGTCTAAGTCGCCCTGTCAGCACAACCAATTTGTGAAAAAGAGGTCATACCACTTGTATGTGCTTATATTGACTATAATCGAATTCCTGACAAAACCTGCCTCTGTCAGTTAGTTCTCTGAGTTAATTTTCATAACACCCCTCCTTTAGAATAAGCTTCGTTAGTTGTTCCATCACTGTTAGTTTGTCAAGTCTGGTCTTATATAGGTAGCTACTTAGTATTACGTATTAGAGATTAAAATGCTGTTAGAGGGAAAATAATAAATTCTTCATGGGCACTGGTAAAAATTGCTGTAAGATTATATAACAGCAATTTCATCCGGAATTTTTGTGCTCTTCAACTTCTCGATCTGTTCATATTTTCCCTCTTACTGCACAGCTACCCATCTAATATGGTTTTAACAGAGGACATCATTTATTCTGAATCAAAAATCACCGAGCTCCTAGCCAACGGTGACTATGATACCGCCGGCCTTAGCGAACCCTATTGCCACTTCACTGCTCAGAACGGACTTACTCCTCCTGCCATGGGTGGCTTCTGGCACCCAAGCTCAGCGAGCGGAACCCTACGTAGTGATGAGTTACTCTCAGGTCCTGGCGCTGCTGATCTTGATGTTGCGATTGAGCATCGGCTGCGTAATTCTCTGAATGCGGTTAATCGAGGACTGAACTCCAGAACTCGCTTATGTAAGTTACCTTCCACTATCTTTTACATACTGCTTAGAAATATAAGTAATATTTAATTTTACACCAAATTTTATATTCTTTTTACTTTTTTTGCCCGTCTTTTCATCCTTTAATCTCCTTTACCCCAACAAATGACACCTCTTTTACTCTCGGCTATTTTCAACAGTTATGAAACTGCCACAGCGCAAACTCTCGACATTTTCATGTAGGTTTTGTCGTGAGATTTGATTTCCTCGATTCTCGTCTAACGTAACACTCTTTCTGTATCTCATTTTTAACTCTGTTACCGTAGCACACATTGAATTTTTACGGTTTATAGCCAAATAATCTTTTTTACTTACTCTTTTGTGCATATATTTACCCAGATTGCAAGTAGTTTTCCGCAATTACCTCAAGAATTTTTCCACTATGCTTTTCCGCTTTTATATTAAGAAGCTGACTGATCTATTGTGGGCTCAATTCTTTTCAAGTGAACCCTCAATATATTAAATAGTTCCTAACCATCTGATTAGTATTATACGCTTTATTATTTACTTCATAC